TTTCTCCACAAACTCCAAAAAAGAGGTACCCATGGAGACCAGGCTCTCCCAGGCTTCATTGCCCTAGGGAGAAGATTTGCTTTACTTTAGGACTTCAACAGATATAAATGATGGGAAGGACTTGAGCTCTACCTGCCTCTAAGCACATCTGAGGCGAAGCTCAGGGACAGCCTTCTGGAAAGAGACAGGCTTGGCCACGTTCTTCAGTGCTCTCCACGGTGCCTCTATCGGGAATGCTTTCTGAAGGTCACAGGAAGCCCAACCACTGTGGCTCAGATGATGAAGAGAATTGAAGAATCTGTTCAGCTGGGTACAGTGCAGCAGTGTGGGACTGACTGGCGGCCCACTGTCAGCGAGCCAGCAGGGGCAATACTGATGTTTGGGGTGTTTTCTTATAGATATAAAGCTCAAGACATCCTATCCCCCCGGAACTCAGTCAATCATGAGGGAGGGAGGGAGGGAAAAGAAGAGAAAGAGAGGGAGGGAGGGAGGGAGGGAGGGAGGTCACTTGTCACCTCTCTTCTTAGCAATGAAAGCATCTTCTCCAAAGGCACTCAGCTCACTTCCCACAGTGACCTATCAGCCAATGGCTTTCAATCATATATGGTGGGTGTCATAGTGGGTAGAGAGATAAAATAGATAAGAGAGAGCTGATAGATGATAGATAGATGATAGGTAGATGGATGATAGATCAATAGACTATTATTGTGTTAAAAATTCTCTATGGTAAAAGTTTTCTGCAGAATAAAATTGAAATGAAAGCCCTAGCTAGTAGGAATGAAACTTCCAGGGCAGTACCCACTTGATTCCTGTGTCTTATAACTCAGCCATGTGTTGTCTTCATCAAGTCTTCTTCAAGTTCTGAATGGTAACCAAGAGCACTGTCAATAGCTTGTAATGTTTGGGTATCCATGGCATCATATTGGCCAAGAACTCAAAGAGAGAAAACCCATTTTTGCTACTGGGGCTTACATTTGCTAGATGAGGTATCTATTGGGGTATTGTCACCCCTTGTAAGGTACCTTCATTTAAACTCTTTTTATTTATGGCCAATATAATTTCATAAGAGTCCATATGTATAGCTAAAGGCTACATAACAAGGAACAATGCAAGAAAAGTGATACTTTCTTTTGAGTTGTTGTCCAGGGTGGCCAAAGGGATTTCCAGGTTGTAACCCAGCATAGAACTGGGAAAATGAACAGCAGACCCCAATCTTATCTAAAGGAATATTGACAACTGATTGCTGTTAGATGAGGAACAGCTGACCCTCCTAGAACAAAGACCTCTAGATAGGCTGACTAGATTCACCAGAAGGGCAAGTAGTGGGGAATGGCTGGGGGTACTGACAACACAGCAGACAGTAGTGGGGACATCAGAGTATAAGGGCTCGAGTTGGGGGAGGGAGACTATGGGAGGGTGCTACCTTAGAAGTGCGTGTACAGATAGATAGATGATAATGATAGATGATAGATAGATAGTAGATTGATTGATAGATAGATAGATAGATAGATGATAGATAGATAGATAGATGATAGATAGATAGAAAGGTAGATAGATAGATAGATGATAGATAGGTAGATGATAGATAGATAGATAGAAAGGTAGATAGATAGATAGATAGATAGATGACAGATAAGTAGGTAGGTAGATAACGGCTGGATTTTCTCCCGCCCATAGCTACAAAGAAGGCTGAGCAGGCCCACACCTGGCCTTTTGGGCTCCACACAGAGGAGAGCAAGGCAGAGGGTTGGTAATGGCTAGAGAGCAGCCAACCAGGAGTGGGTCTTCCCCAGCCGCATAGCGCCCCATGTGCCACCTCAGGCCTACGCAAGCCTCCTGCCACATCCTGCCACCCAGGGCTGAGCATGTGTGGGTCTGGCAGATGAGAACCTGACTCAGCTTTAAGGCCTCTGAACAACTCTCCTAACCTCCCCACAGCTGTCATGATGCGGTTCTTCAGCTGACATGACCCAGCCTGCATTTTAAGTCTGTTTCCTCCTCTGTCCTCCAAGAATGAAGCATCAATAAGCATAAACCTTGATCTACAAAGCCCTTACCTTGTAAGCATGAGGACTTGAGATTGCTTGATCCCCAGAATCCAGGTTTTAGGGGGAAAAAAAAGCCAGTCATGGTGGCTCAGCTTTCACCCAGATTGACCAAGGTGGACCTCCCAGGCTGCACGTGTTAGCGGTTAACTCTCCTAGCTGCCCTTTCTCTGGCTAGATAGGGAGTTTATGGGCCATGCCCTGGGGAGAACCTCCAACCAGGGCCTGACTGGGGAGGCTTGCAAAAGGCGAGCCCCTTGCATTGGGATAAGACAAGTCCACAAACAAGTCTAACTCTGAGCTCCCCACAGCATCCTGCTGATCTCGGTACAGCAGGGACCACAGCATGGCTCCTCCCACCTCCTCTCTCCTTCCCTGGGAGAATGTACCACAGGAAATCATGCAGATCCAGATCCCTGCCTCAGGCTCCACTTCCTGAGATCCCAACTGAGCCACTTCATACATACATGTGCTCATGGACACACACACACTCTTTACTTTGTACATGCCCATATGCCCATCTAACATTTAAATGCACCTGTACACATGTAGATGTGCAGACATGCACATCTAGTTAAGTGCACATGTGTGCCCATAAAACATGAGGTCATATTCACCCACCTGACATAAATGCACATGTGTCAAGCATACAAATACACACGTCCATATAACACAAATATGAAGAAACCAATCTAAGATATATTACTAGTTCAGTTTAACATGTAAATGGCACACATGCACACCTAACACATAAAAGCACATATGCATGTCTAACATACAAACACACATGTCCATATGACACATAGACAGGCATGCAAACCACATTATAAATACGTGCACTCCTGGTATATATAAGCTTACACATTTTCAGCAGCCCACATTTAATCCCTTGGCTAGGTGCCTGGCTCTGCCCGCCCCCACCCTGCTCAAGCTCCGGTCCACATTCTACCAAGCATTTAGAGCCCCACTAAGCTCAGAGCTACAAGAGACCCCCGACCCTCAGAGCTACAAGAGACCCCCCACCCTCGAGGCATTTCATCCTGACAGAAAATTCAGTGGTATTAGATTTGGAATTTCACACCACCAGAATGTGTTCATTAACTTTATTTTCACAACAATGCTGTGTTCCTAGGGAGCGGTCATGCCAAGAAATCCTCAGTGCCTCCTAGCTGTGCCCTCTGGGTCTGCCCAGTGCTGCTGAGGGCTGGGGACGGGTTTCAGGAGAGTTGGGTGTTCAGGGTCTCAGACCTGTTAAGGAGTGCCAACCCTCAGCATAGTCAGGACCCCGCAAGCCAGAGGCTTCTGTGTCCTTCAGGGTCCCAATTGGGATGAATAACTGTTTGCCAAGTGCGGCAGCCCCCTGGCCTTTGTATGAAATTTGCTTTAACAGGGTTGTAGATTAGGGGTGTGACTTAGGATGAGCAGAAATCTATTATTAGAATCTGAGGTAAGAAGATGTGGCCATAAATATTCTTGGATTAGAGGCAAGGAGGGGAACCCGAGAAGGCAGCTAGCAGCATCCAGGATTAACTTCTATTAACCCTTCCAGGCCTAACCCTGGTAACTTCCAGAGCCCAGACCCCTGCGCTCCGGTGCATCTTGCTTCTGAGCGCCTTTCTGTCTCTCTCTCTCTCTCTCTCTCTCTCTCTCTCTCTCTCTCTCTCTTGCTCTCGCTCTCACTCTCTCGCTCTCTCTCTTGCTCTCTCAATCCCCATGCTTAGGCCTATATTAAAAGGTCTATTAAACCCCAACTCTGCTTCATTAAAAAAAAAATCTAGTGCTGACCCTGATGGGAGCTGTGGGTGAAGGGAGGGAGAGCAGTTATGACCAGGAGATATTTCCTCTCTGTATCTGTGTGTATGTGTCTGTGTGTGTGTCTGTGTGTCTATGTATGTGTCTCTGTGTGTGTGTGTGTCTGTCTGTGTCTGTGTGTGTCTGTGTGTATATCTCTGTGTGTGTATCTGTGACTATGTCTGTGGGATGCTTAACACTCCCCACACATAGCCATAATTGTTATAGAAAGGTGCTATCGTCAGCCAGAGCCCCTGGCTCACTCCTCCAGGTCCCACTTCTGGCTGCCTAGCTCTCTCCCCAGCTTCACATCCTAGTCCCTGCCCCCTTCCCCCCATCTTCTGCCTCCTGCCTGCCTGCCTGCAAGTCATGTCCTTGGCTCCTGGTCATCCCATCCCGCCAACAAGGAGACCTGCTATGCCCAACTTTTTGGAGTTTGCTGCTTGCTTATCCCAGGAACGTTCAAAAGCAGCTGCTGTATTAAGCTTACGCCTGTCTCACCAGGGTTTGTTATATCTTGTGATGCCAAGTTACAGTCCAACATTCTAGGGAAGTTGAGGCAGGAACTCGACGCAGTGAGTCACAGCACAGCCACAGTCAAGAACGGGGCAGACAGAGAGCAAAGGGAGCTCTGTTTGTGGCTTTTGGATAACTTTCCTCACTCATATGGCTCAGGGCCCAGCCCATGAAATGGTGCTGCCCACCGTCAGGGTGGGTCTTCCCATCTCAATTAAAACAGTCTGCGCCGACACACCCACAGGCCAGCCTGATCTAGATAATTCCTCACTACCACGCTCTTCCCAGGTGATTCTAGATTGTGTCAAGTTCAGCAAACCAACCAGCCCAGCCCCGAACTGAGCGTCCTGCTTCTAGCTGAGGTGCTGGGATCACAAGCGTATGCTATCGCCCCTGGTTTTATGGGGTGCTGGGGATGGAACCCAGGGCTCTGTGTACACTAACCAAACACTCTACCTCTGGAGCCACATCCCCAGCCCCCGTATTCTTTTCCATGAAGAGAACGCCTGACACTGCGCAGGCTTAAACCATGAAACCCACATCCGTTCCCAAGGACTCAGCTGCTCATACGACATCAGAGGGGCCGTGTGCAAAGTGGTCCCTCCTTGGTGGTACATACCGGCCTGACGCCTTCTCTCTGCTCCCCAGCCCCTGGACTATGAGATCTCTGCCTTTCACACTCTGCTGATCAAAGTGGAAAATGAGGACCCGCTGGTGCCCGATGTCTCCTACGGCCCCAGCTCCACGGCGACTGTCCACATCACCGTCCTGGATGTCAATGAAGGCCCAGTCTTCTACCCAGACCCCATGATGGTGACTAAGCAGGAGAACATCTCTGTGGGCAGCGTGCTGCTGACAGTAAACGCTACAGACCCTGACTCCCTGCAACATCAAACCATCAGGTAGGTGAGCAGCTTGGGACCCACAGATGGGGGCAAGGCAGGAATCACTTTCCTTTTCGTGTTGTTGAAGTTGGTCGAGTTGGTTGCCAATTATAAAATGCTGTGAGAAAATCATTAGTGGATTCCATCTGCAGATAAAGATTGAGAATTCAGGGCTGGGGAGACGGCTCAGTCGGTAAAGTGCTTCTGAGAGCACGAGGACCCATTTGGATCCCCAGCACCCATGTGAAAGCTGGGGGTGTCACAGTGCACACAGGAGGATCTGTGGAGCTTGCTGGCCAGCCATTCGAGCTGAATCAGTGAGCTTCAGGTCCAGTGAGAGACACTGCCTCAAAAAATAAGGTGGAGGTTGGGAAAGGTGGTACATGTCTTGGGAGACAGGGGCAGGCAGATCTCTGAGTTCCAGGCCAGCCTAGGTGACATAGAGGTGGAAAGTGACAGAGGAATACAGCTATACACACACACACACACACACACACACACACACACACACACACAAAGATAGTATGAATTCAGACGAGTTTGGGAACTTGCTCCAGTAGAGGATCCAGAAAGAACATAGGTCAGTGTTCCTGTGTCTGCAAGGAACTGACTCTGGGCATCAGAGGTAAGAAGCAAGGACTTTGCCTGCTCCTTAGAAGTGGGCCAGTGGGTTGGGGTTTTAACTGACAAATGACAAGCAGAAAAAAATGTATCTTCAGCAATTTCTGTCTTTATTGCTTAAGCCATGGTTAGATAGAAGGCCTTTCCATAATGAGGTTTCGTTAAGCGGTCATCACCGATGGCACAGGAGCAGCAGCAACTGCACAAGGCCCTGGCTGGTGCCGCACAATAAGCAGGTCAGCGCAGGCCTCGATGCACAGCCTGTCTCTACAAGTGAAAGTTATTCATCTTTCCCTCCAAAATCGAATCTTCTGCTCACAGAAGGCACAAATAATCAAGTTACACCTGCTTGTAATGAACATGTTGGTTTTCTTTTTTTGGTTTTTTTTTTCCAATTTGGAAAATACAAGAAAACCTGGCATTATCTTGTAGGGAGCCAGCTGACCGGGGAGAGGCTGGAGCTGTTTCCCATCCCCCAAAGTGGGCTTCTTTTTACATCCAAACTTTCTGAATTGCCAGATGAACATGAGACCCGTGCAAGATACGACCAAATCCCATAACAGTGAGAGTCACCGTTCCCCTTCCTTCTTTCTCCCTGACCCCCAGCCCTCCCACTGGGTTTCTGGAAAAGGAAATATATATTTTAAACATCAAAGAGAGAGCTTTCCTTAAGTGCTTTGATGGGAACTACAAGACAGTAGGGCAGACTGAGGCTGCCTTCAGGCTGTTTACTGTCATTTTGTGGTTCTAGGAGAGGAGGCACGGGATTCCTGAGGGTGTAACATGAGTTGCCATTGGGCCAGCGTTGCTAAGCCTGGGCTCTGCCATTGCCGGCTAAGCTCAGGGTGCTGCTGAGACTCAGTGTTCATGTGAAAGGGAGTGACGGACTTCCTGATGCACAAGCTGTAGAGCCCACACCAAGGGCAGACGGGGAAGGAGGGGTCTGTCTGGGTTGTGTGATTCAATCCAGCTCTGGCTGACTCAGGCAAAGTGTGACTTTTCTGGGACAGTCTGTGGATGGTTTACAGTATGGGGGAATCACTGGAGAAGCACAGACTCCGGGTGGCAACTGTCAGACCTCACAGGGAGAGCACAGCAGCTCCAGCCCCCTCCCCTCCCTCCCGTGTCACCCAGCCCCATTCACCACCCCAGGGAGTCCCGGGTGCCCTGCTTGAGCAGAGGACAGGGCACCTTGATAGAAGGGCTGCTGCAATGCAACTGGCCGAATGTGATGTTTGAGCACAGAGACTCTTCCCTGCACATGGGATACAGGGGCGGGGCCAGCTGCAGAGGGACAGTCAATTGGTGACTTTGAAGGCACTAAGGTCAGCAGCAGAGCCCTGGAGAACAGTGATCCAGGCTGTGGGCTCCCCATCATACCCGTAGTACTGGGGGACACCCACCATGGAAAGAGGTAGACCCCAGAGATGCTAGGGAGGATGTCTAGACTGTGGGAAAGCAGGTATTGGAACACTGTGGAGCTGCATGATCCAGTAGCAGGTTCAACCCCCACAGCATGACCCTCAGTCACCAGAGGCCTAGACCCAGCTCAGGGTCACCTGTGCCAAGCAACACATGGGTTAGTGTAATTCACTGAGGCATAGGAACCCTGAACCTAGTGGGTGGTACTGGGGTACTGGGCTCAGATTCTGTCTTGGTCTTACAGAGCTTTTCTCCCTAGCTAGCTCCATCCTCAGACAGAGTTGTAGGGCCACAGGGTTGGCCCTGTTCCAGTCCTCTTTCTGCCTGCAGAAAGAGCCACACACTCCCCAGAGACAGTTCAGCCAGGCCCAGGAGGGGCTGACTCAGTCAGCTTGGACCCTTGACTGAACAGCAAAAGGATGGGCAGTGCTGATGGTCTGGCCCAGCTGTGTGGACCCACAGTGGACAGCATCTCCTGTGAGGGCCTGGTCAGTCACCTACAGTGGGCAGGAGGCTCTTCTCAGGAGATGGGGTTAAGTAATGAGCCATTAGGAGGCACAGGCAGCCCTTGTGACTGGTCACCTAAGAGGGTCAGCGTCTATTTACTGCCAAGTTAGCTGGGTGATGCTGGACCAGGTAAGGGATGCTAGACCAGGTGAGGGATACTGGACCAGGTGAGGGACGCTGGACCAGGTGAGGGACAGTGGACCAGGTGAAGGACGCTGAACCAGGTGAGGGACGCTGGACCAGCTGAGGGATGCTGGACCAGGTGAGGGATGAGGGACAGTGGACCAGGTGAGGGACGCTGAACCAGGTGAGGGACGCTGGACCAGCTGAGGGATGGTGGACCAGCTGAGGGATGCTGGACCAGGTGAGGGATGCTGGACCAGGTGAGGGATGCTGGACCAGGTGAGGAATGCTGAACTAGCTGAGGGATGGTAGGCCAGGTGAGGGATGCTGGACCAGGTGAGGAATGCTGAACTAGCTGAGGGATGGTAGGCCAGGTGAGGGATGCTGGACCAGGTGAGGAATGCTGAACTAGCTGAGGGATGGTAGGCCAGGTGAGGGATGCTGGACCAGGGGGATGATACTGGGCTGGCTGAGTTGTGATGCTAGACTAGCTGAAGGATCCTGGACTGGCCCCTTTCCCCACTGGGAATCAGAATTGCCTAACAAATACCCCTTTCTCAGTCTGACAAGAGATAGACCTTCCCTCCCTCTCCTTTCTACCCTCCCTCCCCTGCCCTTTCCTCCACCTTCCCCCTTCCTCTCCTGCTCGCTCCCCCTCCTCCCCATCCTGATCCTGTTCTGCCTTGGTCTCCACTCTCCCCTCTCCTGGAGCTGGTTCTGAGCTCACGGAAGTCCAAGATAGCATCACCAACAGGAGGAGATGCTGCCCTGGGAACTCCAGGAAGGAAAAAGCTCGTTAATGATGGAGCTTTTGATCTTGTACATTGAGAAGTGCCGTCCTGGGTAAGCAGGGCTGCAGGGAGGGGCCAGGCCGAGAGATGCTTTCTGTGAATCCTCGCAGGCAGATGCGATGACCTTGAGTTGTTCCGTGATTGTTGCGGCTCTAATGATTCTTTAGGGAGCGGGATTGGAAGAGGGGCGACTTCACTCTGGGAACTTTTAATTTTATCTCAAGATCTTTGCCTGCAGCAGTGAGAACAGTCATGCTGGCTCAGCCTCTGACCCTAACAACCCCCTTTCTCAGCGGCCGCTCGGCCAGGGCCCAGCAGTCCTCGGAACTGTGGCTGTCCCCACTGTGCATGGCTATGCTGTGTGACTCTGCCCCGTGCCTTCTCTGACTGTCCATCTCCTGCCCTGCCCCTCGCTCTGTCCACTTCTTGTTCCTTCTTCATCTCTGCCTCCCTCTGCCCCTCTCCTCCCCCCTGTGTTTCCTGGCATCTCTCTCCCTCCAGATTTCTCTGTCTGGCTCTCTTCTCTCCCTTTCTCCCCTTTTCTCTCTCTCTCTTTATGTGTGTATGTGCCTGTTCATGTATGTGCATGTATGTGTACATGTGGAGGCCAGAGGTCAACTACAGGTATCAGTCCTCAGGCACTGTCCACCCTGTCTTTTGAGACAAGGCCTCTCACTGGCTTGGAGCTCACCAAGTGGTCTAGACTGCCTGGCCAGTGAGTCCCAGGGACCCTCCAGTGTCTGCCTCCCAGCACTGGGATTACAAGCACACACCGTCGTGCCTGGCTTTTATTGTGTGGGTTCTAGGGATGAACCTCAGGCTTGCCATACATGTTACTGACTAAGCTTTCTTCTCATCCTCCTGGATCTTTCTTCCCTTCCCCCTTCCCATCTCCCTCTCCTCTCCCTCTTCCTCCTCCTCTGAAAGATGCATAAGGCATCTCCCAGTGACATTTTAGTATCTCTGATGTCACCATCTCCCCCTCCTCCTCTTCCTCCTCCTCCTCCTCCATGACACCTCCTTTCCACTTTGTCTCCATGTGCTCCATGGAGGCGCCACTTATCACCTCTGTCTCAACACCAGTGACTCGCGGGTCAGCTTCCCAACTCGACCAGTATCCTGAGAGCCTCATTTGGGTCCAGCCTGACCTTAATGGTCACTGCAGCCCCATCCTGGAGGGACTCCCTTCTAACCAACCCTGTTTGGTCCTCTGGTTTATGCTGATCTTTGTATGATGGAATGCACATCTGGGCTCAGCAGCAATGAAATTTCATCTCACACGGGAGGCGTCTGAGCAGCCCAGGCATCTTGATCTCTGCCAAGCCTGTAACCCTGAAGACAGGACGTATCCAGGCAGCAGACTGTATTCTCCGAAATGCCTGAGTGATTAAGATCCATTTAAAAGCCCATCACTCTGTGTGCCTTGCTTCAAATCAAATCGGACATCAGCCGCCGGGTGACGGATGAATTTCTCCTGTGTAATGGCTATGTCTTCTAACCCTATGATATTGAGACAGTTCAGGGAAGAAACTTTTGAAAAGGGAATTAAGAATG